AAAGGGGAAGGCCCTCAATGAGATGGACTGACACACTGGCTCCAACGATAGGCTCAGGTATAGCAGGGATCATAAAGTTGGCACAGGACTGGGCAATGTTTTGTTCTGTTGTACATAAGGTCGCTATGAGTTGGAGACAACTCGATGGCACCTAACAACAACAACTTAAGAAGAAGAAGACAGAGGATAAACTGAATAAAATACACTACTCATCAGGTGGTGATAAATGCTATAGAAAAAAATAAAGAAGGAAATTAGGGAGTATGTACATTCGTGTATATGGGGGGGGGGTCAATTTTAAATAGGTGGTCACTGAAGGCCTCACTAAGGTGATATTTGTACAAAGACCTGAAGTACTGAGGAAAGGGTAAGCCATGAAGACGGCTGGGTGAAAAAATTCCAAGCAGCAACTGTAAAGGACCTCACATGGGTGTATGCCTGGCATGTCTGAGAAACAGTATGAGAAGAGATCACTGTAAATAAACAGGAGTAATCAAGAAAGAGAAAATGAAATCAGAAGTAACAGAGAGGCTGCAGAGTCTGAGTTCTAGACCCGTGTGACCCTTGTAACAAAAGGTTCCATGGGCAGTGTCTACACAGGGAGACAGCTTGAGGGAGGGCAGGAGTGCATCAGAGGGAAGGACACAGGGAAGAGGTAACTACAAGGAGGAGGTGGGAAGAGAGCTGTTACATTGTGGGGAACTGCAGTCAATGTCATGAAACAAAGTGTGTATGAACTGCTGTATGGAAAATGAATTTGCTCTGGAAACTTTCACCCAAATCACACACAAAAAAAAATTTTAAATAAAAATAAAGGTTCATGGGACCTAAAAGGTTATCTAGTCCAACCAGTCCAATCAGTCCAATTTCTTCATTAAGCCTAAGCATGAGAGGTTAGCAAAACAAACATCATTTATCCTCATTTTATAGACAAGTTAAGTAACTGAGATTCAACAGTCATCTTATAGTTGAGTACTATCATGTAAAAAGGTGTGATCTTAGGTCACTGCATAATCTCCCTGAATATCAGTTTTTACCATCTATAAAATGGTGACAATACTATCTGTCTAGCAGGGTTACTAAGAAATTGCAATGAGATAAGGTTTGTAGAGTACCTGCTACACAGTCAGTTCTCAACTGGTAGGGGTTATTTTTGTTCTTAAAGTGGGTCTATACGATGCGAGAAAGCACCTTGAACTAAGGGGCAAAAAATAAAGAGGGCGATTCTGGATCAATATATATCAATATAAATATACATCAATATAAAGAACTTTCTAACAATTAATGCAGCATACAAAAAGAGAATTTGGTTTGTAGTCACAAGCCCTGATTGAGTCTGGCTTTGCCACTTAGAGGGAGCTCTAGTTGCATAGTGCCTAAGGCATTTGACTACTAACCAGAAGGATGGCGGTTCAAACTCACCAGCCACTCCTCGGAAGGAAGATTGCCACTTACAAGCTGGGAGACCTTTGGTGAGTCTTCACTTTGCTAAGCCTCAACCTCCTCACACACAAAAATAGTGAGAGCGAAAATTTGTCATGCCAATCACAGGGTTGTTAGAAGAACTGAGATAATAGAATGGAAGGTGCTTTGCAAACCCAAACACCAGAAAGGGTTATGGCAGCTACACCAACATGATCTCCCAGTGCTTCTTCCTGAGATACAACTAAGGAAAGGAAGTTAAGTCACACTCTACACTTGGGTGAAACACTGTACTTCATTTTCAGGCAGCCTATCAGTTACTGCCCCAAATAAAACATCAAACCTCCCTAAGGGGGCTGATCTTTGAACCTGATGTTCTAAGAGTCATGCTTAATATTTCTGTCAAAACACAGTAACCCAATGACTATCCCCCAGCAGCTGGAGAAGGAGGGTAACAAGAACGAGTCCAGCCTTCTCTCTTACCCTCCAAGTCCCCTGACATGGAGACTCCAGGTGCTGCTACTTAAGTCCTAAGTCCCCTGTGCTCTGGAGAACAGATTCTGAGTTGAGTTACTAGTGTTACATGCCATTGAGTCTATTCCAACTCATAGAGATCCTATAGGACAGAGCAGAACTGCCCCACAGGGTTTCCTAAGCTGTAATCTTAAAGGAAATCACCAGGTCTTTTCTCTCATGGAGTGCTGGGTGGGTTTGAACCACTGACCTTTCAGTGATGAGCTGAGCACTTAACCAATGCGCCACCAGGTCTCCATGGTTATAAGTAACAAGTACAAAAGGAAGGCAAGCCTGATTGTCCATGGAAATCAGAAACCAACCGCTATACAGACATGAAGACTAGTATGTTTACTAATAAAAAGGCTAGCTGGCATTCACTGAGTGTTCCAGGTATACTGTTACACTGCTAGCTCTACATTCATTACCTCCAATCATCCTCAGAATAATTCTATGATCTAGGTAGTATTATTACCTTTCTTTTCTTTCTTTTTCTTTTTTTTTTGGATGGGAAACTGATGCTTAGAACAATTAAGAAACTTGCTCAAGGTCACACAGCATGTAGGCAGTGGAGTTTCAATCTCAGTCAATACTATACCCCTTGTGTTGTGCATATGTCTGTCTCTTTCATAGAGTACATGCTTCTCAAGGTTAGGAACTAGGACTTCATCTCTGCATCTCCCACAGCACCTGGCATGGACCTCTGTACAGAGTTAAGGTTTAGAAAAAGTTTGCTAGATAAATGGGTTATTTCTGTTTGCAGATTAAAAGCAAAGATCTAACTACTTGGTTGTTGTTATACGCTGTCGAGTCGACCCAACTCATAGCGACCCCTCCTTGGGTGTCTGAGGCAGTATCACTACGGAAGTAGATTGCCCAACCTTCCTTCCGAGGAGTGGTAGGTGGGTTTGAACCACGAGCCTTCTGGTTAGCAGTCAAGTGCCTTAGGTACTACGCTACCAGAGCTCCTAGCTACTTGGTTATACTAACCATTCAGGTCTTGGAAGTCTTAGGTGCAGGAGGTTGGGCTAATTGAAACAAGGGCTGCTAGAGGGGAAGATTTCTCAAGCAGAGAGGAGAGAAGCATGTCCAAACCAGTGGCCACAAAGAGAACCAAGCCCCAAGCCCTAAGTCAGCACCAGAAGGAACTAAATGGGGGGGTGCACTCAAACTCTTATTTCATTCATGAAACAAATATATATTCATTGCCAGGTATCATTTTAGATGCTGGGAATGCAGCAGCAAACAATACAAATTCCTGCCCCTGTAGAATTTACATTCTCATGGGAGAGACTGAAAATATACAATTTATAATGAAATATCAGATAATGCTATGAAGAAAAACAGAGTAATATCAAGAACTGGTCAGGTAGTGGCATTTAAGTAAGTGTGAATGCAGTGAGGAGCGAGCAGGTGACTATCTGGGGGAAGGGAGTTTCAGACACAGATAAGAGCAGGTGTGAACACTGCAGGATGGAAATGGAAACTGCCGGTTCCTGCTAAAGTTGTATTCAAAGCTTTCAATATTGATTTTGGGTTAAAAAAAAAAAAAAGTCCAAGATGAGAGCAAGATATAAAATCTAAGCAGGAAGATCTCTCTGCTCTATCTTAGGGAAAGGAGGGAAAAACAAACACCATGCCCCACACATTTTACACTATCTCATTTAATTCTCAACTACTATACTAAGTGGGCATTATCGTCCCTATTTTATAGATTAAGAAATTAAGAATTAATCGAGTTAGCCAGGATTCCAACCCAACATCCATGCCTTTTCCCCAACATGACCCTGTTTCCTAGAGAAATATTCCCTTCTTTTTTCTTCTTTTAAATTCTTGGTATTTTCTCCAAAACAAAATTCTTAATGTGTGGTCCACAGAATATCTTCAAGAAGCCCACAACTCCCTTCACAACTTCCCAGCCCCCAGGGAAATTTAAGTAAATGTTTGTGTGTGTTTGTCTATTTAACTTTTTGGGGAAAAGATCTGTAGCTATGAACAGCTTTCTCAAAAGGAATGTGAGAGAGGAAAGGTTAAGAAGTACTATTCTAGGTAATAGACCTTTGCAGCTCATTTTGGTAGCTGTTCCTGCTATACCATGAAAAGGTGGGAGGGAAGTTTACTCATCCCCTCTAGAACTGAGGTGTCAACCAAGGGCCCCTGGTCTGCCCAGTAGGAAACCTACTGTACTCAGTTTTTAAAAAGGAAAACAAAGACAGGTAGCATGGGCAATTCTGGAGGAGGTAAAAATATGCTAAAGAAAAGGAACAGAAACACTTGTCAGGAAGGTCCCTTAGTTTGGAGACAAACGTTATTATCTACCTTACTTTCCAGCCCCAGGCCCCATCAGCAGCCAAACTTTATGGGGTCCCACTACTCCCAAGACAAGAACGGAATTCCCCCCTCTTCACCAACAGGTATCACTTACTACCCATTCTGGCCCATCTCTTGGCTCATCGAATAGAAAGGTACTTTTCGGCAAGGCCAGTACCTGAGCACCTCTCATAATGCCCACAGCACAGTGTAAGAGACAGTATAGTCTAGTAATCTGAAGCATTAACTTTGGGGATATAGATACAGGCTTGGGTTCCAATCTGATTCTAGCTGTAAATTTGGGCACGTTACCTAACTTCTTTAAACTGTAAAATGGCGGTAAGATTCCACCTAAGAGGGTTACTTTGAGCATTATAAATGAGATAATGCATGTAAAGTGCTTGTCCCACTGTCTAACATACAGAGCACTAAGTGGTAGTTATTATTATTACCGTCGTTCTTGTTTGTTAGCCCAGCACTCCGCGAACGCCTCTTATTCATGGCACGGGAGAGGGGGTCTCTGGGCTAAGCTAATCCAGCGGTCCTCCAACCTGCCTAAGCCAGGGACGCCCCTCTGAGTGACTCTCCCTTCTTGACCCGCCAAAGGGCCTCTTCCTTCCTTCATGTGGAACCACCCTCCTCCCAGAGCTCACAGAAGGGTCCTTGCTCAATCGCACCTAGCGCCCCGCACAGGGTCCCTTCCCCAACGCGTGTCAATTCCTCCCCGCCCGCCGAGGTCACGCGGTCCGGTTTACCATTTTCTTGCTCTCCGTGCCACGGTTCGCCTGCCTCGACATGGTGCCGGCCGCCCCACTCTGCCTCACCTCAGGCCCGCTCACCGACCCTCTCAGAGTCCGCTCGGCCCAGCCACACAGCCTCAACCTCCGGGACTGACCAGCGCAGAATCATCGCGCCTGCGCGGCTTGCCGCGTGGCACCACGGGACTCGTGGTCGGCCCAACAAGGGCAACTCCCGCCGAATAAACGTTGGACTACAACACCCAACAGCGGTGTTGACAATTCCGCCCTTAGCGCGGCCGGACTACAACTTCCGGAGTGCTCCGTGCGCGGCTGACTCGTAGAGCTTGGCTCTCCCTGTGGTTTGTTCTGGTCGCTGGGTGGCGTCCGCACCTTGCGGTAATCCTGTATCACCTTTCATATATCCCCCACCACTACCACGCATGCCACCTCAGAGATGTTCCCCAAACTCCTCTCCCGACTCTATCGGTCTTGGAAAGTCCCTCTTTCGAATTAGCCTTCTCCGCCGTCACCTCAATTCAGACCCAGAAGCTCCCAGGATGTCCCAGAATGCAAACAACTGCTACACAGTGACCTGGCTGCTTCAGTACAAAAATACTTAATGAAAGACCACCTACTATGTGCCTGCATTGCACAGTGACCTTCTCTTTTCCACTACCAAATGTCCCCTGAATCCCAAACACAGCCAGCACCTGAATCCTACCACCTGTAGCCTCCTAAAAAGAGCTTTGGTGGTGTGGTGGTGAAGGCATTTGGCTGCTAACCATAAGGTTGGTGGTTTGAACCCACCAGCCACTCCGCAGAAGAAAGATAGGGCAGCCTAGGAACCCTATGGGGTAGCTATGAGTCAAAATCGACTCAATGGCAGTGAGTATGATTTTTTTATTTTTTCTTTATTTTTATTGTGGTGATAACATACACAATAAGACATTTGCCAACATAGCACTTCCACATTGATTACATTTTCCATGTCGTGCCACCATTATTGCTTTCCTTTTCCATAATATTCCATCACCTATTAGCATAAACAGTGAGTTTGATTTTTTGTTGTTGTTTAGTGGCCTCCTGATGGACTGGAATAACCAATCTCTTACAAAGTTCAGACCACTTTTTCCTTCCTCCCCTAGAACAGCTACACTGCCTGGCTCCCAGGAGAGAAAGATCACCAGCTTTGGTGGCAGTCAGTCCCGGGTTTGAATCCCAGCTTTGCCATCTTAGGCAAATTGCTGGATCTCAGTTGTGTAAAACTATGAGAAATGTATACAGAGCACGTGACCAGATAAAAGGAAAAAAGGAAACGTATACTCCCTTTCTCCCAGCCAGCCTCTAAAACAACCCAACAAAGAGGCCCCAGAAACATCAGGGGAATGTGTTGGTCACAGCGTTGTCCATTACCAAGGGGAAGTTCTACAGTTCCTGACCACAGCTTTTTAGTTTCAGCTCTAGCCACAACCCACCCTCCCTGGCTGGTCAACTCTGATGGGGTGGGGCTAAGGTCCCTCTCCTCACTTGGGCCTGGTAGCCTGATGCTACAACAGCTGCATTTTAGCTCTTACCCTTCACTATGACACCCAGCCTGCCCAGACGTGAACCAGGCTGCAGAAGGCTGGGGGGCCTACCGGCTGCTCAGACTAAAAGCCAGTACCTAAGGTTTCCCTGGTCCCTCCCTCTCTTGGAGTGTAGGACCAATCATTATACCCTTCTTTCTGTGACAGACGTTCTTAGGCCTCCCTGGAAACAATGACCCCTGACTTCCTCTCTTGTGTCAGTGTCCAGGGCGTAATGGGAGGGGATCAAGGGTTCTGGGAAGAACCACAAGGGTAGGTTGAGGGTCAGGGAAGCAGGGCTCTGCTAGCCCCTGGAGGCCAGCACAGCCAGAGAAGAGCTGCGGCATTCCCGGGAGAGAGGACAGCTGAGGTGAAAGCCGCAGTTGGCCTGCCTGTCTGTTGGTCTGGGCTCCTCCCTGCCGGCTGCCTTTAGCTGCCCACAGAAACCTGAGTCACAGTCACAGCCAGCCGCTGGACCCCACCCAGACTGCTGTTAGGCTGGGAGGTTCTGGAGAGACTGGAGGAGGCGCCTCCCCCTACTTGTCTCACTGCCTCTGAGATTCTTCCTCTGGGCCTGTGATTCCTTCTCTTTTGGCATCTCTTTCCCTTTGGGACTCATCTCGCAGCGTCATCAGTCCTGAATTAAGGGTGTGGGGAGAGCTCATCTCAGACTTATCTGTAGGCTGTCTTCTGTGCTCAGATGGGAATTTAAAAGCTCCTTAGCTGCTCCAAGGTCTCTCAGTTAGGCTCTCATAATTTCCAAATCCCAAGTTCTCCCCATCACCCTTCAGGACATTTAGGGAGACCAGGCACTCTTCCTCACTCTGCCCCCATCTTCTTCTCCCTAGAAAAGAACTCAAGGACAGCTTTCCATCCCAGTCAGGGGCTCTAGACAAAGATCTCTTCCCAGGAACCCAAAAGGCTGAACATTAATCCTGGAGTCAATTCCATCCCCCTCTAAGTCCTCACTGTTCCTCCTCTTCCCCAAGAGCTGGAGAGAGTAGGGTATTATTGCAGCTGGTGTGACCACTGCCCTTTAAGACATTCTCCATCCCCAGGTCCAGGGAGTGGACCCTGGAGGCTAAGGCTCCCACTAGAAGGTGGTCTGGGTTAGAGAACCCTTCTTGCTTCAGGGCCTTAGGAGAGGGGTGGGGTGGAACTGAGAATCTGGTGTCTGTTGGCTCAGCTGCCCCCATCATGAGGCCCCTCCCACTTCCTACTTTGTGGGTGTGGAGGCAGCCTCCAGGGCCTCCGTCCTGATTCAGATCTCTGTCAAATTTCCTAGTGATTTCCTTCACCTCTTCTTCAAGTTCATCATGAACCCTGCCCCACCAAACCTAGAAGGTTGTAAGCACTCTTGCTCCTTCCTTCCCCCTGAAGGGCCAGGAAGGGGACATATTTCTCACCCCTTGGTGGTGAGACAGACTAACAGCTCACTTGTGCCTGTTTCCATGGAGGGGGGAGAAGACTGGTGGGCCGCAGGGGAGGTGACAGTGTCCCCTGCTTCTCATTTAAGAGGACAGGGTGTCCTGTGGGGGCTTCAGCTCCTGATGATGCAAGAGTCCCACTTGCTGGAAGACTACAGTCAATGTCACGAGACAAAGTATATGTGAACTGCTGTATGGAAGATGAACTTGCTCTGTAAATTTGCACCCAAATCACAATAAAATAAAACAATAAGAAAGAGTCCCACTTGCTCCTTCTCTGGGATGTCCAGTATTTGGGGGACCACTCAGTGCCAAACTCAGAGACAGATATCCATTCTCAACTCTTTCAGTTGCTAGTCATTTAGGATGAGAATGGAGAGGACCTCATCTGTCCACCTTGACTGCACCAATCACAGGACACTCCTGCTCACCCAGTTTCCCCTCAGCCTCCTCCCAGGACTCCCTGTGGATCTATCAGCTGTGCAGAAAGCTTTCCCGGGCTGGCCAGGAGAATTGTCCCTCAAATTGTCTAATTCCCAGATTCCCAGCTGGTCCCCAACACCGCATCTTATGAGAAGTTACAGATGCTTCCACCCTCAGTCTAGGGGAGGGATCCTCAATCTTGGCACCATTGACATTTTGGGCCTCATAATTCTTTGTTGTGGGAGGCTGTTCCGTGCATTGTAAAATGTCCCCTAGTTGAAAACCACTTGTCTAGGGTAATACCAAAGATATTAAAGATCAAAGACTACAGTCTCCAGTACGGATTATACCTCAACAGAGAGAAAAGACAAATCCTCACAACTGGACCAATAAGCAACATCATTATAAATGGATAAAAGATGGAAGTTGCCAGAGATTTCATTTCCTTGGGTCCACAATCAACACCCATGGAAGCAGCAGTCAAGAAATCAGATGTTGTATTGCCCTGGACAAATCTGCTGAAAAAGACCTCTTTAAAGTGTTAAGCAGCAAAGATGTCACTTTGAAGACTAAGGTGCACCCAATCCAAGCCATGGTATTTTCAATCGCCTCATATGCATGTAGAATCTGGACAACGAATAAGGAAGACTGAAGAAGATTTGATGCTTTTGAATTGTGGTGTTAGCAAAGAATACTGAAAATACCCTGGACTGCCAGAAGAACAAACAGATCTGTCCTATAAGTGCAGAAGGAGTGCTTCTTAGAAGTGAAAATGGCCATATTTCATCTCTCCTACTTTTATCATGTTATCAGAAAGGACCAGTCCCTGGAGAAGGATTTCATGCTTGGTAGAGGGTCAGTGAAAAAGGGGAAAACACTCAATGAGATGGATTGACCCAGTGGCTGAAATGATGGGCTCAAGCATAGCAAGGATTGTGAGGATGGCACAGGACCATGTAATGTTCTGTTCTGTTTACAAAGGGTCTCTATGAGTTGGAGCTAACTTGATGGCACCTAACAACAGGGTAATACCTTACACTACTTCTTATCAATGAGCTTTCCAAAAGTCAATCCCAGATAACTAGATGCAATAGAGGATTTCCAGCTCTAAAGTTCTCTTTGCTCCCCAGCCTTCAACAGCTTCCAAAAATCTACATTTCTAAGGCATCCAAGGGAGCTCTGGTAGCATAGTGGCTAAGTCACTTGCCTACTAACCAGAAGGCTGACGGTTCAAACCCACCAG